ACCGGACGCGGGGCGCGGAGCCGGCGGGCGCGGCCTCGGCATGGACGTGACGGTCTCGGAGCTCATGGAGCTCTTTCTGCAGAGCCCGCTGGTGACCTGGGTGAGTGCGCCCCGCTCCCCGCCCCTTTGTTGGTGCACCGGCGGGGGGCCGCAGCGGAGGCAGCAAGTGGCTGGCGGCACGAGTCGGGGTCCGGGTCCTGCGGCCCCAGGCTTCCCGACCCCAGAGCCCGCGCCTCTGCGGTGCCGAGCCCGGTGCCGAGCCCGGAGGGGAGCGGGGACACCTGCTCCCGCCTGCCGCTGGGTTGGCGGCCCGGCCGCAGGGTCCGAGCGTTCACCGCGGTCCTCAGGGCTGGAACCACTTCCCAGAGGGACTGCTCTCCCCCGGTTACCCCCGTGCAGTTGCTGAACCCCAAAGACTAACCGGTGGGTGGCGGTGACGGGCGGGGAAAGAGGGGCCGAGCGGGAACATGAACAGGCTGGGTCGGCGCCCTGCTTTCCGGTGGATCTAGACGTGAGAAATTTATTGAAAAGTCTGTTTTATTTATTTATTTTTTGCACTGGAACGCTGGCGAAAAGCGGCCAGGAAGTTTTCCTCCTCCTCCTTGGTGTCGGTTGCCTGGCACGGGGAGAGGACAGAGGCCCAGGGAGGAGGGTGAGCTTAGTGCCCGCTGAAGGGTGCAGCGGGCGCGGTGGCCCCTTTTCTGCCACTCGCGGCCCCAGCCCGCTTTGCCTGGGCGGCTCGAGACCCTTCGTGCCCGTGGGTGACTGCCTGGGTGACTGCCGGTCTCTCAGCTCTTCCATCTCCCTGCAGGTGAAAACTTTCGGCTCCTTCGGAAGCGGCCACCAGGACAACTTGACTATGTACATGGACTTAGTGGACGGCATCTTTCTGAACCAAATTATGCTGCAAATGTAAGTTGCCTGCTTCAGAGTCCAGGGGAACAATGGTGCTTTGGAGATTAAAAGTGGAAATGTAAGGGGGTCAGGGCAGAGGGAGTCGTGCAGGTTAGAACAGCGGTGCTTTTGCGACTCTTGGGTGTGTGAAGATCTTCAGGAACTTGTTCGATGCAGGAAGTTTGGAATCGACTGTCATCCACGTGCGGTAGACTGTGCCCTCGACTTCAAACTCAAGAATGTAATTGTGGCCTAAGAATGGAGTGAAAAAGCCCCTTTTCTTTTTTGGGGTCACAGAAGTGTGACAGAGCGTCTGGCTACAGGAAGTGTCGGGGCTGGGCTGAGAGCATCCGAGGGTGACTAAAGTTTCGCCCTGGGTTAGGTGCTGGTGCTTCTGAGCCGCTTTACGTTTTCTTCTCCAGTTGCTTCAGAGCCAGTGCGATTGGTTAAGTGTCCTCTGAGGAACTGAGTTTAAAGTCGCTGTTAAATTAGGAGGGGGCGCAGGGAAGCCGAGGCTGGGTGCTGTTTGGAAGTGGGTGCTTAAGCAGGGTGCTGGAAGTTGCGCTTGCTGGCTCGCGTGTACCTACAGCGCGCCACATCCTTTCCGGTTGCCGCTCCGCCGAGCCGTCCTTCTGTCTGATTGACAGCCCGCCCCCATGGAGGTGTTGGCTTCCACCGCTACCGCTGCATTCTGTTTTTAACTCGGAAACTGCGAGGACCATATTGCAGCTGAGAGTCAGTATGATTCACAGGAGGCGCTTGAAGCAAAATAAAACATCCTAATGTTCTCTGTGGATCAGCCCCCGCCTTCACCTGCTTGCCTACGATGGGTACATTGTCCTGCTTGCGCGTGAATCCATTAGCTAATGAGAATCGGCTTCGTTTGTGGCCAGCCAAGGAGAGGCAGCCGTTTGCTTTGGCTTGTCCAGAAATGATTTAGATAGAGTCTACTCTAAAAGGTCTGTTTTAAGAAATTTTCTCCTTTTGTTTTTGTGAGTCATTTGATGCCGCGCTGTGGGAGAGACTCTGCTATTTAAAAAACAGTTTGTTTAAGGCATTACTGATCTTACCAACCTTTAGTGTTGGACTAGATTCTAACGCGAAAAATCTGCTGTCAGCACTGGCAGAGCTTCTCATAACGCTGGTGAAAAGGAGTGTTTTGGAGGCTGGTTTGAGCTCTGGCAGCCCCCGTCCCTGACTCCTGGACGACCCCCCAGCACTGCTAGACCCTAGTATTACTGGGTTCCGTGGGTACAGCTGCCAGGGAAACTTCAACCTGTCCTTCCCCGAGCCCGAGACTGTTTAATTAATAAACCCAGCAGTTCCCCCAGCCTTTGCATTCAGCTTGTACGCACCCGGGATCAGGGGACAACAAGAGCCCCCCCGGACTGTTTCTCTTTCTTTCCTGACCTTTGGAATTCCGGAGCGGTTACCACTTGCTTGTAAATCAGGAAAGCCGGTTGGACCTTTCCTTTGAGAAATGCCAGCTCATCATTTGTTTGCGTTTGGCCCGTGGCTAAATGCGGTTGAAGGGCCTCCCTGCACCCCTGGTTATCTGAAACTCGATTTTATCTCTGGGATAAGCCAAAGTGATCATTCTGGAACTGCGAAGTGTGTGGCTCGCCTAAGCCTGACTGTCAGGGTCAAGTATAAAAGAAGGGACCTGGAGGAGAGGAGGAGGGGAGAGTGGGTGGGCACAGCGCTCCCTGGGGCCCGTGGTTTCCGTGGGGTTAGAATAACCCAGCTCCAGGTAGCAGGTGTCAGAACATTGCCTCTGGAAGGGGGCGGAGATTGAAGCAAAGCAGGCAGGGGGAGCTTTTGGGGGTGGTGGAGACAGTCTGTGGAGTATGATTCACATCCTAAGCTCTTTGAGCTGTAACTTACATTAAGATATCCCACTTTGTGTTTGTAAATTGAGTTATGTCAAGTAGAAAACAAACGGGGAGCCTAGCATGGTGGTGTCTGCACACCCATAATCCCAGTACTCTGGGAGGCTGAAGCAGGAGGATCCCAGCCAGGGTAATTTAGTAATTTAGTAAGACCTTGTCTCAAAATAAAAGGAATATGGGCTGGATATGTGGCTCAGTATGAAGGCCCTGGGTTCAATCTCCACTACAGCAAAAAAGAAATGAAAATGAATAGGGGCAAGAGGGAGGCTCAGTAGTGGAATGCTCACTTTGTGTGTGCAAAGTCCTGGGTGTGAAAACCAGCAGCACAAAAATAGTCAATAAAGAAAAGAACCCTGACCCTAGCATTGCACAGCCCAGGTCACCAGCCTGGGCTTGAACCCCAGGTATCCCCGCAGTGGCACTGGGCCTGTTGCTCAGTGCCTCAGTTTGCTCATCTGTAATATGGGAAGTGAAGTTCTTCCTTGAAAGACATGTGGGCTGGTGTGGTGTGCATACTCGTGATCCCAGCTGAGGCGGGAGGATTGCAAGTTCAAGGCCAGCCCAGAAAGCTTAGTGAGAACTTGTCTCAAAAAGAAAAGCAATCAGAAAAGTGAAAGGGCTGGTGGTACAGTTCGGGGTGGAGCGCTTGCCTAGCGTGTGCAAGGCACAGGGTTTGCACTGAAAAAAGTTGTACAGATGAAATGAGGTGATGTGCTGGCTTTTAGCTCAGAGCTTGGTGCTTAACAGACCTTGGGATCAGTGACTTAGTAGGTGCCGTTGGACTCCAGAAGAGATGTGAAGCTTACTGTAAGAGTCCCCTCCCCCTCCAAGTTTACCTTTCCCTCATATTCTGAATCCCCTCAATTATTGCATAATTCTCAGCAGCAGCTCTCACCGGGTGGGGTCCAGGCGCCCGAGTCCTGCCCCACGTCTGTCCTCTAGCTGGACCGCAGGTTCCCCTTCTAAGGAGCAAGTGGACCATCAGGCTGTTGCACCGGGCCAGGTCCTGTTCTGATCAGTTCCTCAGGTTGGAAGGCATGGAAGCAGCCGGGCAGTGTCATTGCCGGCTGCCGACTAGGTGCTGGGTGGCTGGGTGCTGCGTGGTGGGGCTCAGATAAGAGGCTGTTACCTAACACTCGGGAGCCATCTGGAGGCTGCCTGGGTCATGTGACTGTACCTGGCCATTGTCTCTGGCAACCCTAGAAGGCTGTGGTAGTCGTCCCCTGTCCCTGGCCCCGAGGTGACATCAGCGCTACCTGGGAGCAGGAAAGCCCTGTGGGCTCAGCTTTCAAGGGAAGCTCTGGTCTAGAATTCCTGAATGAGCTTGTGGTGCTGAGGCCCTGGAAGGAGGGGCTGGGAGCCTGCTGAATGGGGCCTGCATGAGCGCAGGCTCTGGGTACCAAGCACTCCTGAGCTTTGGACAAGGTTTCTGGTCTTCAGGGAATTATTTAAGGGCCTTGACCCTAGTGCCAGGCTGACAAATTCACCTCCTTACCCCACCACGTACTAACCCTCCCTCTGGGCCTCAATTTCCAGATCTGCAGTAAGGGGATGGAACGTTATGGCTTTGAGGAAGCCTATGTAAGATGATGCGGGTAGAAAACGTCCAACATGTGTCAGTGCTATCATGGTCTGCCAAGGGAGGCCCAGGCCTGGGCGTGTGTGCGCTGCGTAGTGTGTGTCAGGACTTGTGAGAGGGCCTGAGTTGGGGGCTGCTGTGATTGCTGAGTGCCCTCGTGGAGTTGGTGGTGAGGCCAGCTCGGTTCTGTCCAGGCTTCTTCCTGACCCCTGGTACTAGCTGCAGAATTCAGGGTAACGTATTAATCACTCAGGTTGGAAGCATCCTCAGGCCAGTGGGAGAGTGTTTTCAGTTTCTAAAACACAGTTGAAGGATAATTTCCCCCAAAGGTCCTCCAGGAGGAGTTTACGTTCCCACTTTCCACATACAGAAACTGCAGATAAGAAGGTAAATACCTAAAAGCTGAGCGTTACCAGTAATCCTAGCACTCTGGGTGGCTGAGGCAGGAGGATCATAAGTTAGAGACTGGCCTGGGTTTAGCAGTTTAATAAGATCTCATCTCCAAAAAAAAAAAAGAAGTGGGGGGACAAAGACCTTGGGTTCAACCTCTAGTACCAAAAAAACAAAAATGAAAAATTAAAGGGCACATAACTGCTGGTCGAATGAGTTTGTGCTTATGCAAAATCGAACAGAACTTTTTTTGTTTTGTTTTACAAATTTAAGTAATTTTCTTCTCTCTGTCTCTCCCCATTTCCTCACATGCTGGGGATTGAACTCAGGACCTCGAGGGTACATGCTAGGCAAGAGCTATGCCACCAAACTACAGTCCTGGCCCAGTGATCTCCAGTTGTGGTTGCGGCAGATGATACACTACATAGGGGCTTTAAGTTTTAAAAGTTTCATGCTGAAGCCAGGTGTGGTGCTCCTCGCCTGTCTTCCCATCGGTTAGGAAAGCAGAAGTTGGAGGATTGCAAGCTCCAGC